ATTGATGGCAAAGAAATCCACTTTAACCAGACAACCAGTCGAGTTCCCCTTCAGCGGCTAATTTGTCACCCACGACATTAAAATGTAATCAAATGGTTTTCTCGTGAAATTAGGAAATAGTTTCACTTGCGTTTTGTCAAAATTCTGATAATTTCCCGAGCCTTTGGGCGAGGGAAATTATCAGAATTTTGACAAAACGTATACTAACACACACTAACACATACTAACTTTCCATCATAATTGTACTTACATACATTAGAGGTCAGCGTACTTGGCACTGTTGTCGTTGATATTCCACGGGACAATGAGATCAGAAGAGCAATTGAAAGGACAAGATATCTCTTGAAGGGTTGAATCATCCCTCCCTAAAAAACGTCACTGTGATGGTTAAGTTTCACGTTAAGTTTCACGGTCAATATAATGTACAAATTCCTCTAACTGGAAAAATAAATTCTGCCTTGAATTTATATAGTTATTAAGCAGAAAAAAATATAAAATCTTAATATCATAATGTAAACAACAGCAGTTGCTTCATAGCAAGCGCTTTGGACTCCAGATGTAGCATTTAAAGTTACGTTCAAGCCCTGGCCGTGGTCATTTTGTTATGTTCTTGGGCTGCAAGACACTTTACTCTCGAAGTGTCTCTGCGCAAATTAGCCCGGTGAATTTAGTGTTGTTGTTTATCGCACCCTGAGAAGGACTAGCATTCCATCGACGGGGGGAGGAGGATATGGAGTAAAAATAATAATAATAATAATAATAATAATAATAACAATAATAATAATAAAATCGAGTTAAAAAACCCCTAGTCGTTTCACACGGTTGAATACATAAAACGACGCCGACATTTTAGAACTCACAGTCTTCCTGCTGACCATTTAACATTGCACTCTGTTTACAAACCAAAACAACCTAAAACGCAGTTGCGTTTAGTGTTATTTTGCAGGTAGCCAGTTACATACGAACAATGAACCTGCGCACACAGAAAAAAAAGGCTTTTACTTCTACTAAAATAGTAAAGGTAATCCATCGTAAACTGAAAGATTATTTGGGCAAGCACTACTGAATCGTTGTTTTGTGGAGGAATAGCATGGTTCGTTATACCCGTATCAGGGATCATTTCGTTTCAGTGGGGTCGCGAAGTTTTGACATAGTTACCTGTATTTACAATGAAGTACACGCCCTCCTTTATTTTAAAAACAAGCACCTGTAATCAAACCGCTTCTTACGAACACCTCTACAATACGGACACCTCTATATTGAGGACAGTTAACTTCAACCCAGCGAAACAAGAATTCA